TCGTAACTAAAATAGCGATAAAAATCATTCTCATCCAATTTTAACCAAGTTTTCATTTGGCGCTATAAACTCTTCCTATCCATTTTATCTGTGAGAAAGATTAATAACGGGCTGGTTTACACTCTACAGTCACTTCATAAGTAATACCCTTTTTGTACCTGTTTGGTACCCGTATTACTTTTAAAACGGCCTCAATTCCTAGCATGTGTACGACGATGTACTGCAAACATTTTTTTCCAAATTTCTGTTCATTGTTTCTTTAAAACGTCCCGCAGTTTTTTGGATTGTTAGGCTGCATTTCCGGGATTCGAACCTGCCTTATCACCATCTCCAAACTCTGACTGTGGACATCATTTTAACACAGGAAACTCATGCTTGTGTTCCAGGATGTAACCTGTGACTACATCTGATTTGAGACATTGTTGTTTTGCAGTTCGCCACCAGTGGATGGATACAACGTATTCGTAAATTAAGGCACCTGATCGATCACGCTACTTAGGTAGGTTGAGCTATTTACATGATCATATATGAGTACCTAGGATCCCAATGTATACCCGGAAAATCTTCCGCATTCTGTTACGCCAACAGAGCCAGCCTGTCCTCTTTATACAAGATTCATAATTTCCCGCTGTTTGCTCTAAATTCAGGCATTACCATGTCGTAGTAGAAATCTCATCTCATCTCAAAGGCAAAGTTTTTCCTATCTACAATTGAGCGATTTTTATGTGATCCTTAGCAAATTATAACTTCAGTTTCTGTTTTTATCTTAGAAGACTGGCACGTGATTCGTCCTCTGCTTTCGTTGCTCAGGGACCTTGACGCATCGTGCATTCAGATATGCTCTTTTGCTTACCCCCGTTACTTTTTCTGGATACCCATATTTGAGTAGACGCCCCGTTTTTATTTTAAACAGTATTTATTTCGCCCATCGGCTTTATTTTAACATAAAATTGGTGCGTCTATTCAAATAAGGATATTCACTAAAATAATGTTTGAAGTAATAAAAGGAAAACTTGAACATAACTCCATGAAGAGACAGTTGACGTTTTCGGGAACACATAATGAGGAAGGAGTGTTTGGAATATTTAACACTCACAATACACAACCAACCTGGTGAACTTGAGTGAATAGATGGCGTTGCATGAGTGATGGCAAAAAGACAAAATTTATTAAGAGCTACAAGGGGTAGGACATTGTGGAGAGCCATGATCGCCAACGTTCTAAAGGGACACAGTACATAGAAGAGGAAGAATATTTGTTTTTTTACTAATATTCTCGATTGTTCAGATGTATTTTTTTGCTTTTTATTACACTAGTCTAGTGTTTGAATACGTGCCCATATCGATTATTCATTCATGGACGGCGATTTAATCATTTCTATCAGGGAAGCTTCAGCTGTCGGTATATTTTTTTTTCTTTAAAAAATTACCTTTAAACGTTTATTTCTTCGATGTGTTAATTTGCTTTCGGCTCGGAACTACCAAAAATAAAATTTTGTAGAATATGCAATCTGTTGATTTCAAGATGTGCTGAATTAAGTACAAGTGAACAAATTTTCTGATTAAAAGAAATAAAGATCATTAATTCTTTAGAAAATACATTCGTTATAAAGAATGTTTATTTGCTTTTTAACAAATGTTATCTTTTTAACAACTGCTACCTTTTTAACAACTGTTGCCTTTTTATTGACTGTTGCCTTTTTATTGACTGTTGCCTTTTTATCAACTTGAACCAGCCTTAATATTTTCCTCCAAACTCTTTCATCAACATGGGGATTCCGCCACCAGAATTACAGCTCAGTGGAATATATTTTTCTGACTATTCTTTACAAAACCCAAACATGGTTGGGCTTGACATTTATACTGCATCAATAAGTTTAGAATTATTCATATCTATTTCTCTGTCACGAACAACAATACTATTTTGAATGTCGCTTAATTTTTTCCCATACTAATACATGAAAGGAAATTTAGCAGGTCACCATGATCATACACTAAATTTTTTCCATCTATTGCATAACACTGGCATAAAAGCAAATTTGTTCATTTGTACTTAATTCAGCACATCTTGAAATCAACAGATTGCATATTCTACAAAATTTTATTTTTGGTAGTTCCGAGCCGAAAGCAAATTAACACATCGAAGAAATAAACGTTTAAAGGTAATTTTTTAAAGAAAAAAAAATATACCGACAGCTGAAGCTTCCCTGATAGAAATGATTAAATCGCTGTCCATGAATGAATAATCGATATGGGCACGTATTCAAACACTAAACTAGTGTAATAAAAAGCAAAAAAATACATCTGAACAATCGAGAATATTAGTAAAAAAACAAATATTCTTCCTCTTCTATGTACTGTGTCCCTTTAGGACGTTGGCGATCATGGCTCTCCACAATTTCCTACTCCTTGTAGCTCTTAATAAATTTTGTCTTTTTGCCATCACTCATGCAGCGTCATCTATTCACTCAAGTTCACCAGGTTGTTTGTGTATTGTGAGTGTTAAATATTCCAAACACTCCTTCCTCATTATGTGTTCCTGAAAACGTCAACTGTCTCTTCATGGAGTTATGTTCAATTTTTCCTTTTATTTGTTATTTTTTCCTAGAACTTCGTTCTTGCTCCCATATTCAGTCCATGGTATTCTCAGCATCGTTCGAGAACCATATTTCTGTTGCTTCAAGTGGCTTCTTCATATGCGAGGAGATTATTCTGTATTCCCTGTCATATAGAAGGATTGATACTACATAACAGTTCAGTACCCTTTTCTTTTTTCTAACGATATTTTCCTTTGTGTTAATTCTTTCATCAGATTTTTGCACCTGTCTGACTTCTTTATCGTAATTTGCATGTTGGGCTATCCTAGTCACGATGATAAAATATACCAGCATTTATCTATTTATAAGTAGACTTTCCGTAAACCATACAAAAATAACTGTGGATGCATTTTTTTTACCTAAAATAAGATTGTTTTTATTATAAGTGTCTAGTGAATGTTCCCCAAAATCCATCGGTGAAGTTTGAGATGTTTCCACTGTAAATACAATTGAATATTCGTATCCATAGATAATGTGAATACCTCCAGCCATTTTACATAATTACTGTAACAGCAAAATTGTCCAATTGTTGGATTGAGATTTAAACGGTTGTATCTTAGAAATGATTAAAGGTATCTTACTGGAAGTCTCCAAAGTTTTATAACACTATTGAACTCTACAATAAGAATGTATTTAGCTCAGAATTTGAAATGATAATCCGGCTTGCTGTTGTGACCTCCTGATCTCGTTCTCCTCTCAACTGATCCCTCTTTTTTAAACTTATTCACCGTTCTCGTGAATGTTTTTGAATGGACTTTGTAGAAGACAGAGTATGATTGTTGGTACCCTTATTGAAGGCCTGAATGATCTTTTTCCTCTTACCATTGCTCAGCTGAGAAGACATAGTGTGGCTGACACAAAACGATTTTAACCTGTTCTCTTTCTAGCTGAATAACTCAAAGGGCTTTTCAGTGATTCTTACGAAAAATAGTGTCAAGGTGGTAAAACGCTTTATTTGAAAACCTGGACAAAAGAAACTCAATTAGTTTAGTGGGTTTTTTTTTAAATTTTTTTAGATATTTGTGGGATGGACTGTTATCGCATGCCGTTTAATCAACTTGGACAATTTTGCTGTTACAGACGGTATATTTAGTATCTGGTCAAGGCACGGAGAATTGTAAGCCTCGAGTGGCGTTTGTTTGTTAATTTTTATTGTTTTCCCGAAATTTAGAATGAAAACTATTATAATAGTGTTTTCTTAAAAAAATTAAATCAAGAAAATACCAAATTTAAGCAAAGTAAAAGTAAGTAAAAATTTAATATAAAATGTCTAAGATATCGCAGTAAACTTTTCAGTTTCAAAAATTAGAGTTTGCAATTATAGTTTAGACTAGCAGCAGAGCCCGCCGTTGCCCGAGGATGTAACAGTAAGAGATAGATCAAGTATCGACCATCATAAAGACTGAAAAATAAAATTGACAAATATTATTGTTTAAGGTTGAAGGAAACGCATGTATTAATTAGTTTTATTTTTTATTTTTTTTTTTTTTTTTTTTTACGAATTGGTCAAACCCAAACTCAAACAAAAACATTGTTTTCAATCGTTATGAGTCTACCGATTGAATAGAATTTTATTATAAACAATTTTCTTGTAAATGGAATTTTTAAAACATTCTGAATGTAAAAATAAAGAAAAAAGTGTGCAAGACAATAAGAAACACTACCTGCCCCAAAAAAGGTGAAGTTTTGTTGAAATCGGTTGAAAAATGTAGGAAATCCGATCCCATGTATAAACGAACACACACACACACACACAACCTGAGTTTTATAATAAGTGTGATATATGAAAAAAAATGGCGTCAGTTTAAACTGCATATAACATCGTAGAATTTGCACTTTACAAGGTATTCTAAATAAACATGTGATTATTCCATATGGCTTGTAATAAATTATATACAAAGGGTTTGTCTTTTTCTTTCTATGCCTGCAGTACTTTAACAGAATATAGACGATTTTTGTTACTTTTATCAATAATTTCTTCTTCATTACACCCTTTTCTCTGCACGAAATAATATGTTCTTGGGTAGATTAGTTGATGATTTCTTATGAGTGTCGAATTTTCCAAACCTTCTTCCTTCATTATATATTCTAAAGATTTTAGCTGTATATTTCTGGTTGTTAGCAAAATTTTCCTTGTAGGTTCCGCTCTGTTAAGAACCTCCTAATCAGTGTTATCCTCAGTTCATGTCATTTCAACATTCGTCGATCTAAGCGCTTCAATCTGTGACAAAATTGTTAATCATGAACTGCCAACCAAGTCTCATAGAACAATCTAGCACTATTTTATATTTTGAGAATATTATTTTTAGATTTCTTAGTATCAAACACAAAATGTAAAAAATATCGTCTGCGATGGGTATTTGAAGTCATTTAATATAATTTACTCTATTTAAGTTCAGGGTTTACGGCCAGATAACATTGAAATACCGATTCCCGTATAATCACCGAAGTTAAGTGACATCGAGCCTGGTCAGTAACTCGACGGGTAACCTCTTGGGAATACCAAGTACTGCAAATTTAGAAGTGCGGGTGGTGTACGAGATAATGGCTCGGAATTGTTGAGTTCCAATTCAAGTTGGATTCGTTATCTTCAAATGGTAAATGTTTTAATTCTTCCAGGTACACCACGGTTGATAAAATTCTAACACAATCAATGCAAAAGGATGCAGTCATTGTTGCAATATGCACAGAATAGAGCAATTTAGAAATGTTCAATTTTCTAAATATTTTAAGATCTTTTTTGTACACACAGATGACTTCGGAAGCCTCTAGCGAGAATATTTCAGCTGTACCAAAAGGAAAAGAAAAAAAAAACATTCTAAACTAACGGACAATTCAATCCATCTAACAAAATGTTCAGAATATAATCAATGATGACCCCAGAAAATAAATGAGGGCCATCGCCAAAGAACTTCATGTGTCAGAGTAGAATATGTGAACCGTGATGCACGAGGACATTGGCTACAAGTCATATGTACTGACGATATAGCAATTCATCTCCGCAAAAATAAAGGAAAGCCGTTTCATCTGTGGTTATTTAACAAGGTTAAAAACCGTCACGAACATGGAATCATCTGATGAGAAAGAAAAAACTTCGGCCAACACAAAAAGTTTAACATGAGAAATGAGAGACGGTCAAATTGCTGTCCCCAGAGGGATGCACACTGTTTTCAGCAACTGTAATGGCTTTAGGAGTGAAAAATAACGAAGGTCATATCATGTCACCTCTTATCTTTCCATAGGGACTTAGATCTAATTCTGCTAGAAAGGCTGAGGTGATGAAGACTACGTTCTGCCCGGGATGGATGAAGTACGCATTGGAAGGACATGTTTGTCTAAAAAAGACGCGGCATCTTCTCACAAAGCCTGCAGAAATAAAATCGATATCAGAAAATGTTTATGATTATGTAACACTAAACCTGTGGCCACCAACCTCGCCAGATGCACATCACTTGGACTTCTGCGTTTAGAACGATGTTGGAAAAATATTAATCGGCATTTTCACAGTATCATAGCTTCACTGAAAGCCAGGGTTTATTCGAAATGAGTAACGAGCATTTAGTGTAGGCATGCCACTAATTCTGCTTTGGATTAGTTATCAACGCTGATGGCGAATGCATGGAATAAACTCATGTGAAAACTTACCGAAAAATATGCATAAATCTTTTTTAAAATATATTTGGTTTCTGTGGGATTAGAGTTGTTTTTATTAAAATACTATCTCCTCAATCACGCTTTGCACTCAGTATATTTCGCTATTACTATGCATTTCCCTTTGTCTATAATCCAACTGTCCTCATAATTGAATTATCTAACTTGTTTGATTTTTAAGTCCACAATACATCCCTAATAGCTCTTGAAAATATATTTTCAATTGAGCACTGTTGAATGACAAGCTAATTCTAAAAACAACGGTAACCTGCGCAAATGCGAAACTCTTCAGTAAAATGAATGGAACACTATGGAGCCTTGGCGTTTGTTTACGTTCGTAAAAACAATACGCTAGATTTGGCCTACTCGTTGTTCGAGTGGAGATAGCTCAGCGGTAGAAGCTCCGAGTGACACCAAATAGGTTGGGTTTCGATTCGGGCTTGAGGCATTCGGTTGTCTAGTCGCACTGAGGAGCTGCGGTGTTGAGCGGTCTCTGACTGCGCGCGCATTCTGTCGAACTCTCTGCGTTAGCAGAGAGGAACCCGGACGAGGCTTTGCCGAAGGGCAAGGTTTCGTCCGGGGAGGTAGACAGGGCCTGAACCCGTCTAGGCGAGTTCAAAGGCTATATTTTTGGCCGAGCCTACGGGTTCTGGGATACACACATTAAAACCGGCCTTGTGCCATATTCGGTCCTCGTGGGTGGAGCGATAAATACTCTGAGGAGCTGCGAAACAGCACTGTCTGCTAATGACATAATATGGATGTACAATTTGGGGTTTGGCATACTTCACAAGTTGAAAGGTATGGTATTTCTGGGCGAACTTTTTAGATGATTCAGTCTTTTTTGTCAAATAGCGAAATGAAGGTTTTCTTGAATGGCCACTCTTCTAGATCCTTGTGCATAAATTCAGGTGTTCTCCAGAGCTCTATCCTTGCGTCTACGTTGATTTTAATTTTCATAAATGACTTTCCTGATTTCATCAGTTCTCAAATCAGTATTTATGATGATAACACAATTTAATTCTCTCTTAATAGTAAGTCTGATTGGTCCGATATAGTTAAATTGGCGATTGATTTCAATAATGACCTAAAATCTGTCGTTAAATGGCGCAAGGTGTAAGTTATTAATTTTAACGCCTGAGAAACAAAACTGCTCTCTATTAATTATCTGAGGGACCCCCTTTCACTTTACAGGCTAAAGTTAAACTCCAGGAATCATTTTACCTTCCATCAGCATGGCTTATATTAATCGCCATGACATTGACTCATCGAACCATCTCCGACTAAAGCTTTCAGCTGACATGATGTGGGAAAAGGATATTTAATTAAGCGCTGAAAGGATTAGTTCACTATGTCATGCTAGACACGATTTCTCGCCAGAATCTATCTTACATACTTAAAAGTCTACCATTCTTCCTTGCTTTGAATATTGCAACAACTTCTGGTCTGTTGCTTCTGCTATGCGTTTATATATTGTTGATAAAATACAAAGAAGAATCGGCTATGTTATTGGTCCTGACCTGGTGTCTCAGTTTTAGTCCCATTCCCACAGCCTTAACGAAAACTCACTGTACCTTTTCTATAAATACTTTCATGGTAATTATTCTGATGAACTTTCCGCTGTGGTAAGTTATCATTTTACAGATAAAAGGGTTGATTTAACCGTGAGTTCTATGCTAACAGTATCTTCGCTCGCCCTTCTCGCTATAATCATAATTTCGTCGAGGTATTATTATTATTATTATTATTCATGTGTATGGAAATATCGCTTTTACAGTTTTACTACATATAGTAACAATAAGTAACAACATTTTTATGCCCGTCTTTGTTAAATAAATACGAGGAGAAAGAACCAGAGGTTAGTATTCAATATGCACACAGGTACACACAAGCTGCTCAGCTAAGGATTAAAACGACATCTTGCATTATCATTCATTTGTTTTGACTACTATAAAAGCACAGTGAGCTTTAATTTGTCAAATGATACCGACTTTTTTACCATCAATAAAAGCATTTTAATCTATTATTACTGCTGACAGAAACCAAATCATTTAGGGACATGTTAGAGCACCAAAAATTAAAATGGAGATCACATTGTAAATCCAACTGAGAATACTGGCATAATCCAGAAGCTGACGTTTCACATTGCTTCAAACAAACGGTTAGGAACGAAATTCCCATTAACACTGGAAAGAAATTTAGTAGCTACTGAACTTGATAAAGTTATTTTTTTGAAATAATCTTAAAGCGAAAAATTAATTAATAAATTCCACGTAATTTCAGAAATGAATGATAATGAATGCTCGGGAATTAAATACCGGATGTTTGCTCATAAGAAAAAGGCTACTTTAAATATTACCCCCCGCCATATATATATATATATATATATATATATATATATATATATATATATATATATATATATGCGAAGGAGGTTTCATTCTAATGATTTCAACATCTCCGTGTTCACGAAATAAAATTATAAGCGAAATGAAAAATTAAAGTCTCCGTCTTCCCTATTATAACGATCTCTAGTCTACATTGAGCTCTCCCTGGGTTTATATCCTCCTCGGCAGTCTCCCTTCCAGTCACAAACTGGTAAAATGTATGTATCTATCTATCTATCTATCTATCTATCTATCTATCTATCTATATATATATATATATATATATATATATATATATATATATTAAAAGTGAACATTGAAGCCATCACTTAGAGGTGACAGGCTGTTTCATGCTAAGCACAATCGTCAGGCCACGAGTGTTGTTTTTTCCGGCTATTTATATACATGGGCCAGTGGTGCATTGTGGGTAGTCTATTTTGGCGGTTATTTTGCCGGAAGTATGTATGTATATTACAAAGAATATGTTTCGTCTCCACAAAAATATATGTCATCCATGATATTTCTGGAAGATGTTTTTAAGGTAATCAATTTTCTCAGTAAAACACTCACTACCAAGAGAGATTGCATTTATCTTTAATTAAACTAAATCTACTAAAAAATACGTTTGAAAATTTTACGGTTTTCCTATTTTAATTTTTCGATGAATCCGACTTCTTAAGTTAGTGACTGAATAAGGTCATGGCGAGTTCTACAGCAATGACATATCCACAGAAATTCCCTTATCATATCGTAAAATATTTGACCTTAAGAACTTTAGTACAATATTGCAATCACAATCATAAATATGGATGCTGTAAGTAAGGTTGCACAAATAAAAAGAAATTGAAATTGACAACTTTTTCGTTTTCACTGAGACAGACGTTAAAACACATCTGTTTATCTTTCTTTCATCTTCTCACTGAAATCAGGCAGCGTCTTTCCAAGCAAGCAAAATGGATTTGCCAATTATTTATTAGGGCGGCAAAACGTAGGTTCAAAGTAACGAACAAACGGAGAGACAAACAGAGTTATAATAAGATACTCACGTAATCACTACTCTGTCTTTCAAGGAGGTTATATCCACTCTTCAGGAGACAATGACAATAGAATCCATTCTCCTGTAGAGTGAACGTAATCTAACTGAAACTTACTGTAGTGATAAGTGAATATTTAATTTAAAATAATACTGTCTCTCTCTGTCTCTCTCTGTCTGTCTGTCTGTCTGTCTGTCTGTCTCTCTCTGTCTCTCTCTCTCTCTCTCTCTCTCTCTCTCTCTCTCTATATATATATATATATATATATATATATATATATATATATATATATATATATGTGCTAGTGACCGAGGCTTTAAGCGTGGTGGCTCTGTTGAGCATGTTGATCACAATAGATAACACTCCCAGAAACTTTTTACTTAGGTACAGTCAGCATAATTGTAGTATAAACCACAGGTTGGCTTTTAGGTGCAGAACAAACA